GGTTTTTGCCTTTGAGGTTTTTAAAAATATTTATTATTTTTATTTTATGTGTATGAGTGTATTGCCTGCAAGTATGTGAGTGCACCCGTGTCATGCAATGCCAGGAGGTCAGAAGAGGGTTTTGGATCCCCTGGAACTGGAGTTAAGGACAGTTCATAGCCGCCATGTGAGTGCTGGGAATCGAACCCGGGTCCTCTACAAGAGCAGTCAGTGCTCTTAACCGCTGGGCCATCTCTCCAGCCCTGATTCTTTGTATTTTCATTATTGTTTTTGTTTCATTAATTTCTACCCTGGTTTTATTATTTCTTCCTGTCTACTTGATTTGGGTTTGGTTTGTTACTGTTTTTCCAAACTCTCAAATTGTATCATTAAGTTGTTTATTTGTGTCATTTTGATTAAATTTCTATTGATTTATTTTTAGTTTATGTGTGTGCAGTGCCTTCAGAGGCCAGAAGAGATCCCTGGACCTGGAGTTATTGATGGATGTTAGCTGCAACGTGGGTGCTGGGAACTGATCCTGGGTCTTCTGTAGGGTATCAAGTGCTTGCTCTTAACTGCTGGGACATCTCTCTAGTCACTTAAGGTTTTTCTTAATAACAATAATGACTTTATTATTTTTATTATTTACCAAAATCATTTGTATACACATGTGTATATCTGTTGTAGTGAGTACAGGTGTCTATAGAGTCCAGAAGTGTTGGAAGGAGAGTTACAGGTAGTTGTGAGCCACCTGATATGGGTGCTAGGAACCAAATTCAGTCCTTTGGAAGAGCAGAAGTGCTCTTAACCACTGAGCAATCTCTCCAGTTCCTCTTTCTGATTTATTAAATATAGGCACTTAGAACTATAAACTTTCTTCTTAGGACTCCTTTTTTTGTTTTTTTTGTTTTTTTTCAGTCTTTTTGAGACAGGGTCTCCCTGTAGCCCCAGCTGTCCTGGAACTCATTACGTAAACCAGGCTGGCCTCAAACTCACAAAGATCCCCCCTGCCTCTGCCTCCCAAGTGCTGGGATCAAAGGCGTGTGCCACCATACCCAGCAGGACTGCTTTTAATGTGTCCCAGAGGTTTTAGTATATTGTGTTTCTTTTTTTTAATCTCTTTTTTGCTTTCTTCTTTGACCCAGTCATTATTCAGTAGTGTGTTGTTAATCTCCATGAATTTACGTAATTTCTACAAATTCCTTTGCTGTTGATTTCATGTTTTATTGCATTGTGGTCAGATATGATATATGGAGTTATTTTAGTTTTTCTGGTTGTTGAGATTTGTTTTGTGTCCCAGTATGTGGTCTGTTTTAGAGGATCTTTGGCATTTGGGTGAAATATTCTGTAGATATTTGTTAGGTCCATTTGATGTATGACATCATTTACTTGTGACGTTTCTCTACTTTTGTCTAGATGATCTGTTGAAGAAAGTGGGGTATTGAAGTCCCCTACTATTAGTGAGTTGGTGTTAATCTGGATACACCAGAGTTTGGTACATATATGTTTAGGATTGTAATGGCTTCTTGGTTAGTAGTCCCTTGAGCAGAATAAAATTTCCTTCTTTATCCCTTCTGATTAATTTAGTTTGAAGTCTAATTCTCCAGCTACTAGGACAGCAACCCCAGCTTGTTTCTGGCCCCATTGCTGCCTATGTTGAGTGGAAGTTTTTGATCAGGTATGAAGAGTTTATAGGTCAATCTCTCATATATTGATTTTTTTTTTTTTTTTGGTCTTTTTGAGACAAGGTCTCCCTGTAGCCCCAGCTGTCCTGGAACTCACTATGTAGACCAGGCTGGCCTTGAACTCACAGAGACCCGCCTGCCTCTGCCTCCCGAGTGCTGAGTTTAAAGGCATGCGCCACCACGCCCGGCTGGTATTGATTTTTTGATTGGAGAGACTGACTTGATTCCAATTCAGTGGTATCTGAAAAGCATGCAGATATGGCTCCTGACTGGGTCTGAGTGGTGCCAGGTTAAGGACCTCTGGCAGACTCACTGAGAGTGTGTGAGTGAGATTCCTGACTGGACCACTCCTTGGAGGCTCTTCAAGGGCCTAGGCAGGGCTGATTCATATGGCTTGTGTGCATGTGGGTATGACTAGAGCTACTTCTGGGTGGTGTGGGGGGGTGCTGTAGGGAGGAGTCTGGGGGCACACCCAGCTTGCTTGAACTCAGCTCTGACTCCAGATGCCCTGGGTGAATGGGAGATTGTGTGCATCTGTGTCTGAGTGACTCTGCCAGTGTGAAATCAGGTGTGACTCTGAGTGGGTCTAGGCATGTATGGGTTGTACTGATGTGGTTCTTGGAGGATTCACCTGGCTGACATACACTCCTGTGGGACTCCAGCTAGGTCTGGGCTGTTTTGATAGTTTGATGAGAATCTCTTGGTCATTTTGCTATTATTCCTTAGATTCCAAGAAGTCTCATTGTGAGTTTACAGTAACTGGAAATGTGCATCCCGAGGCAGCAATAAGAGTTGTCCAGTGCATGGCACGTTTCATGGCAGCCTATTTTACCAATCAGCCGCTCTGCATTCTGCCACCTCACAGTGTGAATGTTCTTCCTCCACTTCACATTAAAACAGGTAATATGGCAAACAAATGATTTTCAACCTTGCTATTTGCACATAGTATCTAAAGCTGTATTATTCAGAGATCATTATTCTATGGAAATTGCACTGTTCTGGCGCATAGGAGGTGCACATAGGTGGAATATTACTCTTCTGTATTAAATCCAGGCCAGGCTGGAATCTTTTTTTCTTTATTTAATTTTATTACTTTTGTTTTATGTATATGAATGTATTGCCTGCATGTGTGTAAGTGCACCTGTGTCATGCAATGCCTGCAGAGGTCAGAAGAGGGCATCAGATTCTCCTGGAGCTGGAGTTATGGACGGTTGTTAGCTGCCATGTGGGTGCTGGGAATCAAACTCCGGTCCTCTGCAAGAGCAGCCAGTGCTCTTAATTGCTGAGCCATCTCTCCAGCCCCTGCTTGGCTTCTTTTAAAAACCGTAATATTTATATTTATTTTCATTTTATGTGTATGAGTGTTTGGCTGCGTGTAAAGTGCATCCATGCATGCAGTGCCCATGGAGGCCAGAAGAGGGCATTGTATCCCTTGGAACTGGAGTTATGGACATGTAGGTGCTGGGATCCTAACCTGGGTCCTCTGCAAGAGTTACCAGTGTTCTATTTTTTTTTTTTTGAGACAGAGTCTCCCTATAGCTGCAGCTGGCCTGGATTCACTGTGGAGACCAGGCTGGCCTTAAACTCTCAGAGATTGCCTGCCTCTGCCTCCCATGTGCTGGGATTAAAGGTGTGTACCACAACACCTGGCATAACCCCCAGTGTTCTTCACCACGAGTCCTTGGCTCTTTTTAATATGGGTTCTGGGGATTGAACTCAGGTTCTCATGCTTGTAAGGCAAGCACTTTACTGACTGAACTGTCTTCCTACCTCTGCCCTCTATTT